GTCAGACGGAAGAGCAGGCCTAATGGCCTGAGTCTCGCCACGTAAAATAAGGCATTCAATTCAATTCATTTCAATGTCACACCATAACCATCGGCTGCCGCGAGTCAACTTCTCCTCATTCAATATAAGAGACACCACGCGTTCGGTTCGGTAGCAGTAGAGCACGAACGAGCCGCATGCTGAGAGCGTGGCACCATTTGTGCATTGCATAACTCCAAGAGGTCAGGAGGCCTTCGATCGTTCCCAGGCCTGGAGAGAACGGTTTGTCTACACCGAGCGAAACCGCCCCTGGCCTGAGTTCGCTTTCTACGCTGAGCCTCCATATGAGGAGTTACCCGGCCAACTCCATAACGAAGGCAGCACAACAAACTTCGTCGAAACACGCCACCGCACCATCCTTCAGTGTGGCCGCGCGAACCTCGAAAGATTAATGCGGCGTACGCACTGTTCCTCAACTCGGTGCCTTTGTGGGGGAAACTACTGTGCCCCACGGCCGCCAGCGAGGTGCGCGCCGTGGCCAGAAGGCGGGCCCGCGCGACCGAAGTCGTAACACGGTTACTAAGCGGAGGCGGTGCCGCTCAAGTATCGGCGGCCGACTCGCGGCGCGCTGTGAGGGTAATTAATCCCAATTAAGCCAGTTAGCAAGGGCGTGCGAGCTTGTACTGCCGCCGGCGACCCCGCCGCCGCCGCACCGCGCGGTACGCTCGAGCCGGGAGGCAAGCGATCGCTCCCTTTGTTCTGAGAGCCGCCCCCTCGCCCACCCACCTGTTCCGTTGCCCACCGTCGTGTCACGCTGGAGCCCGATTTCCGAGCTTCATGCCGGCCGAACTGAAGGATGTTCGTTCCGTAGTTGGAGGTAGCCGGAGGTAGCCGTGTGGGTAGTAGTTCAGTTTATTTTATACATAAAAGACTGGTACCCTTATCCAAAAAAATTAACGTACAAGGTTATTGTAATAGAAAGAAAAAAGAAGTTAAAAAGAATGAGCCATTAAATACAAAAAAGCATAAAACACAAGAAAGTCACGAAATACCAACAAGACACAAAAATCAGAAAGACATTATATAAGCCAGAAATATAAAATAAAAGAGGAACACAATGTGCTCACAGTAAAAGCGTAAGAAAATATAGTTCACCATTCATCATTAATCTGCTCAATGTAAACTGCAGCTTCCACAGTAGTGACTTCATTTGAGACGTTTGGATGCAAACAGTAGTATGAAATATGTTTTTGTGCAGTTGCATTTATGAAAAAGATGGCGTAATACTGCATATTCCAAGTGAATTCACAAAACTTGATACATAAAGCTTACCAAAAAAAGAAGAAAGATACAAAGTATAAGCCATTAAATACAAAACCTACAAGATACAAAAAAGTCAGAAAATACTAACAAGACACAAAAAGAGAAAAGTCGTAATATAATATAAAAACACGAATAACACAGTTTGTTCAGAGTAAAAGTATTAAATAAGGTAGTATCCGGTTGTGTATTAATCGTCTAAATTGAAGCTATAGCGATTTAAGTGGTCTCGAATCGTTCCTCCTCGCTTCTCCCGCGTCTTGAGAGCAAGGGCCGTCGCTTCCAACGCAACGCCGCACCGCGCCGCGCCGCGCCCCTCCCACGCGTCCGCGCGTCCGCCCGAGCGCCGCCGCCGCCACCGCCGCCGCCACCGCCGCCGCCGTCTCGTCCCGTCCGCGCGGAAGGACGTGCCATTAGGGGGCGGAGCCGCGTAACGAGGTCCGTCGCGGGAGGCCCGCTGCCGGCCGCAGCTCCCGGAGGAAGCGGATGGGGTCGGGGCCGGGGCTGGGAATGAACCAGCGACCATCGATCTCCAGCGTCTCCCACGACCCTCCACGCGTGAGACTCTGGTGTGCCTGTCTCTGTTCGGTGGCCTTTGCGCGCGGCGATAGTGTAACGGTTAGCGTATCGGACTGTTGTACCCAAGTTGGCGGGGTTGTACGAAATTCAACTTCGAGTGCGATACTTTTTATATAACCGATAGTGGACATGGGTAAACACTCTATTATTGCTAATTATTAATCCGCAGACAGATTTTTCATTAGATCCATGAGAGTTTATTTCTCAGAATATCAAATAATTATATTTGACATCGATTTTCAGATTCTGACCGATTTTGACAATTCCTCTGAAATCCATAGATCTAAAGGGCTCGATAAACAATAATGTATCAACTTAGTATACACAATTCTTGAGTTGTAAAGCGCAATGCGTTTGGGAGAACAACGTGTGATGCGGGTTGCATAATTGTGTCCGTGTACACGTAATTGAGAATGCGTCTCAGCCAGTCTAAGGGAATGTGCAAAGTAAAAAGCGATCATTAAATGTATTAATGAGGTCAACTAGACAACAGTTACCAATGACAGTTAAGCAGTTTGTCGCTTCCCTCCTCACCCGGTCAGAGAGTGCCGATGCACCGACCAGATTTGTTAGCTTCAACCTGAACTACTAAGACACATGCTACCTGCTCTGGGGATATCACAAACTTTATTTTGCTCTTGTCGGAAATCAAACTAGCACATTATTGAGTGTAGAAAAGTAATAGTTATTAATGGAATTAGGCAATTTTCGCACCGCAATGGTGTAACGGTTAGCGTATCGGACTGTTGTACCCAAGTTGGCGGGTTCAAAACCGATCGAAGCCGTTGCAAACGGGCGAAAAAATCTTACGTATGCCTTTCTTCGGAGGGGAAGTAAAGCCGTCTGTCCAATGTTAGTAGATTTACTTGTGTGTAAATCCTCAAGCCTAAATGACGCCTCTGAGCTAAATTCAAATCGCCTGTTCCTTCCCTAAGAAATACCTTCTTCCTCTGCTAGCTGGTGAAAGGAGCGCAGCCATGAGGCCGTCAGACGGAAGAGCAGGCCAAATGGCCTGAGCCTCGACACGTAAAATAAGGCATTAATTCAATTCAATTCAATTCACACCTGCACTTCCTTTCCGAGCACTCTCCTGGCAGGTCTCTGTTGGACTGCTTGCCCATGCCTTCGCTTTGCACTCGCTCGACCAATTCTCGCTCATCTATTTCCCCCCCCCCCTTCATTCGGTTTCTCTTTCTTCTTCTGTTTTTATCGCCTCATCGAACCACGTTTATCATTCACTTCACGCTCTCTATCTGAATCAACCTCTCTTATTCCCTCACCTTTTCCATCTTTTATTATTCTGTTCCTCCTCGTCCTCCTCCTCCTCGTCGTCGTCGTCATCGTCGTCCTCCTCCTCCTCCTCCTCTTCTACCTTTCTGCCCTCGTCACCTTTCGCTCCTTTCTCTCTCCCCACCGCCACCCGTACCTTCCGCTACTCTTCTATTATTTCTCCCCATCTCGATCAGATTTTTGTCCAGTT